GGTTGAAGCCGCATTCCATATGAAACTTGAAGAATATGGCCGCGAAGTGAAGTACCTTCCAAAAATGCAACCCAACTCGCGAAATACACTTCCTTCCCCAAACTCGCAAAATGCGAGCCTCTTGTTGAGAAACTCTCAATGGACGATTGCACTGGTTGCCTGACATGCCTGACAGGCCCGGTTGCACCCTATGGAAAGAAATTGCATATCTACGGGTTCTTTATGCCCGACTTTTGGTGCACTTGTATCGGCTGAACTATTTTGTTATCTGGATTGTTTCACATTTACAGGTACTTTTGGATTTGTCAGGATTCTGGTTGAAAATGAAAATGTGATCAGATCTGGTAGAGATTTGGGCTGTGGAAAGGAGAAGAGCTGTGCCATCGGCGTTCAACTGAATGTTACGCCCCGAGCTGTGCGGAACATAATAGACTTAAAGGTTTTCCTCCCGGAAAAATCGTGAATCTTTCTCAACCATAAATCACTGGCTTGAGGCGAATTCACGAAAGAACGAAACGAACAGAAAGATTATGTCTGTTCTAGTAAACAAGTTAAGCGTTCGAATTCCTGCCTGTACATCTGTCACAAATGCTGGCGACGGGAACGCTTCCACTTGGTTCTCGGAGTGCCGTCACTAGAAACTCTTTTTGGCCTTTTGACTTATTGCACTAACATCTCACACTTCTACTGCATCCTATTCTATCGATCGTTTTGTCTCTATTCTCCAAAATCGACGCTTTAACCCGATTCTTTCAATGCGTCGCCTGATACGTGGCCGCCCCAGGCGCACTTCTTTCCATGCCCCGCCTTTGGCTCCGCGCGACCTACCTTCGACCGTCCATAGAGTGTGGTTTTCGTAAGTTTGTTTCTCTTCGGAAACTGAATCTTTGTGCGTGAAACTTTGTATGTTGTCTCTAGTGATCACAACTGACATATCTACATGGGAAAGAATGCAAGAATTCTCCGGGAACAATCCCTTCAAAGGCCACAACCCAGGCAGAAGTTGTGCGAACGATTCCCTTCGGTCTGTAGGATAGACCCCTCGAGGACAATCACAAATATGGCATTCCCGTGCACGGAAAGTCACCGATAAGAGCGCCAGGGCTTTGAAAATAAGCTGCTCCAGCTGCAACTTTTTCTTTTCTCAGACTTTTGTCTGGCGTCTTCTCATCTATTGCGTGGGTCGCTTCCAACTCTCCTCTCCGCACTTATGGTTAGTCTCTCGTTGCCTTGGAACAGCCAAAGGTGAGTAAGCCCTTAATCCTAAGTGTTTGGATTCTTCCCTTTTTCCTTACTGTCGGCCCACTTTCGCACCAATACATTCGTATTCGTGTTCAAGAACCACACCAATTTGATCAAGGGGCATGCCCTTAACTCACCAGTTTTGTGGGAAAACATGGATATCCTCCAGAGTCACGTTTGGCATCGGAAAGCCGTTTTTGTCCGCGACTGCGTACTCTCTAGCTCTAAAAGTGATTTATCATACATAACTTTTTTCAGGTTCAAATTAAATTACTAAACCTCTTGTATTCTTCTTCGAGAAAGCATGTCATATTGCTGCCACACCCAAAGCAAGGGATCTCCGACCCTAAACAAACCAATGTAAGAAAAACGATGTGTGGCGATCATAAGGATAGCTTTCGCGACAACAGACATCATCCAGGTTAGTGCAATCTTGGTGAAGAAGAAAATTGTGACGATAGGGCCGAAACGGAGGTGTGCTTCTGTAATTATTTCCGACCCCACCGTAAACATCTGTCAATGAAACCGGATAGAAATCGGTCGACGGGCTCTCGAGTAACCATAATGAATTGCCATTTATCGAGAAGATGACGGTCGTGCAAATGCAGCCTCCTTCGCATGCCTTCAACGCTTTTGAACTCGTTTTTTCCTTTGCAAAGTCTAAAAAGAACACCGCAGGCTGAGACGAAATGGAACGTATCTTTTACCAGAATAATTAACAGCGTAAGCAACGTCTAATCGCATGCAATACATTTGACAAGGATAACACTTTGAAAAGGTTTACTCAGGAAAAAATCGAAACCTTTTTCAATTGTTTTGGGCACTTGAATTGCAGTAGGTCTTCGTAGCCGGGAGTGGAAGCGGTTAAGGTGAGGATTTAGTTGCAACGTTCTGCAGCTTCAAAAGTTCATCTAGGCAACCACGAGAGCATGACGCGCATGAGCTCAGATTTCTCACAAGATCAGCGCTCGTTTTTGTTCTATTTATCTGCATTTTCATATTCCATGCACCGTACTTTCTTACCGATTTCAGCTATGAAAGTCAAATAAGATCAAATGTCAAAGTTGAGTCTCGGTTCTAACTCCAGAAAAAACCAGAGATCGAGTTATTTCTGAATACATAAATGGGATAAGAAAGAGAATTAAAATGGACATTGCAACGATATGCATACGAGACTCTCAAAAGGAAAATCCGAAAATGTCTAACAAAGTATGACACATCAAAACCTGGGTCTCATCCAGTAAGGGAGACACAGCGATCTTGAGCATTTCAGACCATGGAAAGCATATACTTTTATTGTAGACGTTTAGGACTATGCCTTAGAGGGGAAGGAGCTCCGGGTCCATGAGCAATTTTGGTTTCCACGGGGGAAGTTTCTCAGCCCTAGGCTTAGTTCTGGCCTGTGACAGATGTGAAGATTACTTCTCGTAGACGTTAAATTGTATTCTAGTACATGGAATGAATACTTACACAAAAACACAAAGAATAATAGAAAAAGCTGATAGCCAGCCGGTGAGTTCCAAATTGGCGTAGACGTGCACCGCAATGTCACCTCCTACGGATAGGAGACCCTGCAATTCTTAGACCAACCTTAATACCTAAGTTGCTTCACAGCATTTGAGTGTTCATTATAGAAGGAGAGAAAGTGACAGCTCACCTTATATCCGGGTATTCCCTTAGAATTTTTCGGCCGGAGTTTATGAATTCTTTGTCGCGTACGAGGAAACAGAATATGGCTAACATCACAGTTGACATGCTTTTTTGAATGATACATGATATCAGGTGATGATTTGGTGAAGTCTGGAATATGCAGATACTTTTGATTCTTCCACTACATTCCCTGTTCCTTGGCTATATTTACCTGTTTATTGCATATTAATTCATTTCTTAAAAATGTCAGGTAGGAATTAGATGCGCAGGGTTTTCCATCTTCATCCTGGATTCTGAAGGATGCGTTTAGAGAAGAGCAATGCGATAAATTGGGATGTGAGAGAGGAAAGTCTTCCATAGCCTCCTGTCAAATGTGGCCGTTTCTCTAAGGGACCACGACGTGACACTTGCGTTGTAGAACGCACCCAAAATGACTAAAGCTTCAAAGGCACGGACGCGGTTGGCTTGGTGTGTTATATTGTTTGAAAATCAGACAAAAAGTGTGAAGAGGAATGCTAGTTTGGGAAAAGCGAAAAGCATCATGGAAAACACTAGGATTTCTGCGTCAGTCGTGGTGTGATGGAGAGACAAAGTGCTCCGAGATTAATGAGAACGCAGGAGAGCATTTGCTGCACGCGAGACGCACATGACTATGCTGCAATGACGATTATGTGTGTTTGAATTGGAAAAATCGATAGTAAAAATTGCTTTTGAGATCCATTGCAAAGCAGTTTCTGCGTTAACTGCGTTGTCATGTTATTCTATGTCTTCGAGGTGCGAAATCAAACAACTACGTATCCCTGGATGTAGTAGGCTGTTGCAATTTACTGATCTTGTTTGCTTGATCATTATAATGTTTGATTTATCAGCTCATTGCTGCTTGAAATCCGCACCGCAAATCGCCTGCTTCCACGTGGCCAAAAAGACCAAAATCGCAAGTTGTCGTCTACGTTGTTAGGGATGGCAGCGAAGCTCGAAGCAGGGTCGAAACCGTTAGCGTTTGCATTTTCAGGAAACTTTCGAGACTCGCTTTGAATGCTGAGAATTCGACACCAGTACAAGGCTGCCCATTTTTTTCGCGGAAAGGTAATGAATGGGGAGTTTTAATAAAGCTAATTTAAGCAGCAAATCTCCAACTTGATCATTCACGGCTCTTTCATAAGTTATTCGCCGGAATTGTCGGAAAAACCCGTGAAAAGACGACCTTTCCCTTTATCGCTACCCCCCTCCACTGTTATGGATGCATCACTTCCAGATGGAATTTGGTGGTTCACTTCTCTTCACAGTATATCAATACATGTTTATTGATTAACCATATCTTCCAAATATACGAGCCAAATATATGAGTCCCAAATCGGCCAGCTACATAGAGTATACAATGAACCTCAAAATCTGCCATAGAATTGAGAATGAAGGAGTTTGTCCTATTTGGAGTCTATTGGAATAGTTTGTATTTTTACAACCGTCCCAGTGCGGGTCCGCAACATCCTTTCCTCCCGTCACAGAGAGAGAGTCGAAGAACGAAACACGTATAGGCTGACAGCCATTCCTCCTAATGATACACTCGCCGTTTTATACGGCGGAAAGAGGCGGGCCCCCAACTCATTTTCATTGAACGGGAGAGTTCATGACCCTTCCAATTTCCAATTACCACTACTCAATTAAACATTTTCCCTGAACATGGCTAACCTAACCCAGTCCTAAACACGACCCTCTCCCGCTTCTTGAAGGCACATTCAACCCACTTTTTCCCTCCAAAACGACCGCCGAACTCGTACCAGCGAGTGGGGGTAGGGAAAAGGGAGGGAGAGGGCCAAAACAAAAACCCTTCATACACGACCCTCTATACCGCGAAACCTTTCAACTTCCAAAATGAGGACCCCTATTCTTTTTCACTCCAACGCAACACAAAGATACGATCCTCTTGTCGAGAACGGCGTCACCATATTCACGACAAGCGCGCTCGACATTTTTTGGTTTGGTAGACGAAGAAGCCAATTCGCATTAGCGGCGCCGCTCACATCTTAGCCGGGTCATTGTGGACCTAAATGAAGAAGAGGGACTATGACCACATCACACCCGTTATTCCAAAAAGGTCGATTACACTAACCAGGAAAGGCATTCAACTTCCCATGGAACTTTGAGATGAGACCCAGATATATCGATAGAGCTTCAAACGCTGATTACAAATATGGAAACTAAAACTGCAAAATGAACCTGCCAAGGAAGTTGTGAGCAGTCAAAGTTGGCTGGAAGTAAAGCATTACACTAGCCTCCGGGCTTTCAGAGTCTCCGCGGAGCAGTGGTGGTGCCCTCGCTATTCACCCTGGGGGTCATAAGCTCTCCTCCCGTCGGAGCGCAAATTCCGAGAGCACTACCACTACTCCAAGGCGACTTTGAAAGCCCGGAGGCTAGTGTAATGCTTCACTTCCAGGCAACTTTGACTGCTCACAACTTCCTTGGCAGGTTCATTTTGCAGTTTTAGTTTCCATATTTGTAATCAGCGTTTGAAGCTCTATCGATATATCTGGGTCTCATCTCAAAGTTCCATGGGAAGTTGAATGCCTTTCCTGGTAAGTGCTCCTATCTGGAGAAGTATCAGCAGCTCGATGAGAGGATGTTGCAATAAAATAAAAAGGCGATATTTATCACAGATTTCGCTGTAGCGGACATCAAAAGCACTCATTCTCCAACGTTTCAGTAAAAATACGAGTCTTACCATCTACGGAATCTTATATTTACTTCAGTACTCTTTTCATGTCACCAAGTTTTTGGAAAGAAAAGGAAAAAGAAAGAAATTTGGTCGAGGTCAGATTCATTCTCTAAAGTGAAGAGCCTAATTTCAGTTGAACCATTTTCGTAGAGATTTATTCGATTTCCCCATTGAGATTTTAAAGGTATTGGTCATGCTATCTTCATTTACATCATAAAAAAGTTTTAAAAAAATTAAGGATATGAGCGACCAGCCAAGCGTCACGACTATCAGGGCATATTGTTAGAGAAAGAATTTCAATTTATTTGGCTTTTCAATTATTTTGGTATTTGACGACTGTAGTCTGTCTTCTTAGGTTCCAGTACAAGCGTACATGAAGGTTTTGTGCAACGCTTAGAGCTTCAAAGTTTCTCTCTGCTTGATGACAGACATTGACGCGTGCGCGTCAGATTTGCATACGGAGATTCTGCGGTTGCACTTGTTTCTATTTTATCTTGGTATTTATGATATTTATTTTTTGTTATTGGCCAATCACCGTGTGACAAAAAGAAGTGATATGATGGTATCATAATTAGAGGCACAATCGATTGACTTTCTAAAAATATCCAAGTAAATTAGACATTGGGCAAAAGCAAATCAGACTGGGCAAACATTACTCAACTCCACCCGCTTTCTTCGGCACTATTTACCCTTTACTGCCCCACTCCTCGAGAACTGAGCCGGGTTTTTATCGAAATTTGTCCATGACTGTGGATTCGGCTAGAAACTTGCCTTCAGGGGTAATTCGACCCGTAGAACACGAATATCATATTCGTTTACCGCTAGAACGCCTGGCGCTCGCGCCAGAAGCGCCGGCGCAAAAAGGCGCCAGAACATGGATCACCAAATTTGCTAGAAACTTGCCTTCTGAAGTACTTTGACCCGTAGAACATTAATATCACATTAATTCGTTGCGAGGTAGCCTGCGCTTGCGCTACGGGCTCCCACACAAAGAGGTTGTGATAGCGCCGGCGCCTGTAGCGCAGGCGCCAAGCGTTGTCGCGCTACCGTATGCGACATTGGTTATTCTACGGGTCGATATTGCTCTTGGAAAGCAAGACTCTAAGACAAAAACCCACAGTCATGAAAGAATTTTGATTAAAATCCGGCTCAGTTTCTGAGGAGTGGGGAAGCTTCTAACTAAAACTCATGGAAGTAAACATGCTCAAACTACTGCTTTGACGTCTTCGATTCAAACCCTTCAAAAACCAGAGAGTCGAGTTATTATTTTCGAATTTTAAAAGTAAAGAAAGTAGAATTAAATGGACTTGCTAACGATCTGCAACAATACAGCTTTTAAGAGAAACTTCCCCATGAAAATGTCTAACAATAGGATGGCACATCAAACCCGCTTATTTCCTGGATAAGCTAATATCTAACAATAAGTTGCTTCACAGCAAACTGAGTGTTCATGAGAAGAAAAGAAAGTGACAGCTCACCTTATATCCGGGTATTCCCTTAGAATTTTTCGGCCGGAGTTTATGAATTCTTTGTCTCGTACGAGGAAACAGAATATGGCTAACATCACAGTTGACATGCTTTTTTGAATGATACATGATATCAGGTGATGATTTGGTGAAGTCTGGAATATGCAGATACTTTTGATTCTTCCACTGACATTCTGTTCCTTAAGCTATATTTCTATGTTATTTCACTATATCATGTTTCTTAGAAATGTCAAGTAGCAAATAAAATAATATGCAGGGCTCTTCATCCTTTCATACTTTTTGCATCTTAAAGGGATATGAGTTTAAGGGGCGGTTATACGATAAATTCGCGATGTAAGAAGGGAATCTTCAAAGGAAAGGAAGCCTCCTGTTAAATGAGGCCGCTTCTCTGAGGGACCACGACGTGACACTTGCGTTGTAGAACGCGCCCAAGACGGCCTATGCCTTAAAGGCACGGGACGCGGTCTTCTTGTTGTGTTATATTGTTCAAAAATCAGACAAAAAGTGTAAATAGAAAAGCTAGTTCGTAAAAATCAAAAAACATCATGGAAACACTGAAATTTTTGCGCCATTCGTGGTGGGATGGAGAGACACAGTGCTGCGAGGAGAGTGAAAACACGAGAGAGCACGTTGCACGCGAGAACGCACAGGGCGTATGCTGCGATTGTTAAAGATGGCAGCGCTCGAAGCAGGGTCAAGCGTCGCGTTGACACTTTTCCAGAAACTGCGAGACCCCCCCCCTCTTTAATTATGAGACCAGTCGACGCAGTGCGTCTGCTAATGCTCCCTCTGAAAGGGAAAGATGTTGGGAGGAATGGGGCGGGGGGGGGTTGGAATATGTCTAATGAGCAGCAAATCCCCAAAATTTATCCATTTCACGCTTCTCTTTCATGAAGTTTTCGCCGAAATTGTGGGATTACCCGTCAAAGACGAACCACTTTTCTCGCCACTACCCCTAACCACCCCTTCTGCTTTCACAATACGATCCTCGTTCACACTTTTCCTGAACGTGGCTAACCTAACTCAATCCTAAATACGACCTTCCTTCCGCGCTTCACAAAAACACACTCAACCCAGTTTTTCCGTCCAAAACGACCGTCGAGCAGGGGGAGGGAGGTGAAGGAAGGGGGAGGGAGAGGGAGAGAAGGGGGTTACTTATCCAAAAAAGAGAATGTCTTCTTATTTGCCCTACTTCTTTCAAATTCATCCCAGAAGCCAAACTCATCCTACATGACCCCTCTACTACCGCTACAACTCCTTCAACTTCCAAAAATACGACCCCCTTTTCCACCCTTTCCAGCCACCAACCCAAAATAGATCTCCCCTTGATAACAATTCACGTTCGAGTGTTAACACGTTCAGCGCCTTTTTTCGATTTTCGATTTTTGGTTCCGTAGGACAAAAGCGATTTCGCGTGCAGCGCTGCCTCACATCCAGTCGGGTCATTCGTGGGCTTAAATGAAGAAGAAGGACATGAACAATACCAAGTAATTCTAAAAAAAACGTCAAAACTTAGAGGTTATCTGGAAGTATCACAGCTTTCCGATGAGAAGGATGTGCAACGGCAATAAAAAGGCGATATTTATCAGATTTCGCTGAAGTGGAGATTGAAAGCACTTTATCCCAAATATTCCAGTGTTAGTTTCTTACCATCTACAGAGTCTTATATTCACTTCTAGTACAAGTTTAGTTCACAAGTTTCTGGAAATAAGAAAAAAGAAGAAAAATGCTATGAAAAAGACCACAGTTATTTCATTCATTTCAGAAAAATATTTAAAAAATACGATATAAGCGACTAGCAAGTGATCACAGCCTGGCAGGCTGTATTGGCTGCCTTCGTTCCTCGAGCCCGCATCCTTAGCAGCCCATATGGGCTGCCATCGGCGTAAATGTGTTAAAAGTCTGACACTACAGTAATTGTGTGATAGAATCACTATACCGTACAACAATCAACGAGCGGATCTGCGCGAACGGTTGTACACATTCAGCTTGATTAGTCTCACACATCTCCGTGGCACCAATCCCCATGAACGTCCGATTTGGCAAGGGCTAAATTATTATATTGCGGTAGTATTTTCTCGAAAACCATCTTGAAATGCTGGATCTTCCCGAAGGCAGCGATTACGATAGGTTCTTTAGGGGTCCACAGGAGACACGGGTGCTCAGTAGTACGCCAATGTTGAAAAAGAGGACAAATCCGTAAGGATATGCGAAAAGAGGACTCTGTTTTTTGACCGTCGATTTTCGTTCAAGCACACGCAGCGGCTGAGACGGCGGTGGACGAGTTTACCGCAACGCGTTTGGTGGCACCATGCCAATCCATGCTCCAGTCGAGTTGCTCCAGTTGTGCCGCTGCTGGCAACACAGCTCGTCCAAATCACCAACTAAACTAGTGGGCGGATCGCTTTTGGGGCGGAGTGCTTTCGAAGTCCTGCTCAGCAACCAGCGCACCTTTCGTCGTGAAAGCGCCACACCTCGCTTCCTTGGCAGCCAAGTAACTGCTTCGTGTGGCGCATATGCTTCCCCGATGCGCTCCCTCTTTATCGTAATCGCTTCCTTCAATAAGTTCTGCATAAGACTTGTCACATAAGCTTATACAGAGGTCAGCACTTGCATCTGAATTCTTAGGTCGAATCTCCTCAATATTATCGAGTTCTTTCTGTACAATTTCAATCGTCCTCTCCTGTGTACGGTAGCTCTCAGCTGCTTCGGCGATCTTCTCTTCGGTGAGAGGCTGAAAATCCACTGATTAGAAATTATTGTCTCTGTAGGTGGCAAGACACGGATTTTCACTGGAACATTTGGGGAAAAAGTGCTTTCAATGTTCGCTACAGCAAAATCTGATAAATATCACCTTTTCATTGCAATAATTAAAGGCATGCCCCAGGATCGCACTGGTGTGGCTCTTGCACACGAATGTGAATGTATTGGTGGAAATGGGCCGGCAGTGAAGAAAAAAGGAAAAGAATCCGTCGAAAACGCTTAGGTTAAGGGCTCACTCACCTTCCTAATCGGCTGTGCTAAGGAATGAGAGACTAAGCGCGGAGAGGAGAGTATGAGGCGAGAGAGCGCACAGATGAGAGGGCGCCAGACAACAGCCTGATAAAAGAAAATTGCAGCTGCAGCAGCTTACTTTGCAAGGCCCTAGCGCTCTTGTCGGTTGGTTTCCGTGCACGGGAATGCCACATCTGTGATTGTCCTCTAGGTCTATCCTACAGACCAAGGAATCGTTCACAAGACTTCTGCCTGGGTTGTGCCTTTAAGTCGGAACATATTTCGTGTATATCTCTAATACGAAACAACCTAAGATGAGCGTGCGGTTCTCAAGAGCCAGAGGTACACCTCACAATGAGATCAGATGGATCAATTTCTTTGGTGAACAGAATAAAGCTGTCCACTAAAGTTGAAGATCTCCCGTTTGCTCGGCTCGAAAGTGCATGAGCCAGAACCTTACCAGGATTACTACCGCTTCCATCCCTCCCCATTCACAATAGTGTCTGCGCCCTCTCAATCGTTGTTCTCTGTCACTCATCTTCTCTTCATGCTTTGCCTTAGCACAGCCAAATTTCAAAAATAAGTGGACCCTCAAGTGGGGCATTT